CCAGTTTATTTCATAAAACTGTAAATATGATCATTTATTCCCTTGCCCCTCATTGCATGCAGTGGTAAAAAAAAAAAAAAGGGAAGCTGCATGCTTTCCAGTGTAGCCACTTCAGTAATTCCTAAATAGCTAATTTGTATTAGCATGAGAGATTATTCCATTAACAAGGTTTAAATTAATCTATTGCAAAAGTACTGCCTCAGAGAGTTGCCAACAATTTGACCAGCAACACATTCATTTTTTCCTCTCTCAACTCACTGTTTACTTTCCAGCTACACCACACTCACTTAGCACTAATTATCTTCATTTACTTCTATTATTCTGTTTTGTATTTTTTTCTGGGACTTTTTTTTATCATCCTCATAACTGTTGGCCTTTCAAAGCTGTAAATCTTCTTTGCCTACATGCTAGCTTCTCTCCTATTCATTCACTTAAGTGAGCACTGATCATTTATATTGAATGTATCTTTCCTGATGATCTTTTACTATACATTTATTTCTCTTCTACCTCAACTAATAGAGTGATACATGGTTCTCAATTTGGCATCAGCCAACAACTGATCACAGTGCTCTGCTCAAACACATATAGCAATTACTACTGCAAACTCCCTACTTCAGAGATTTATATGGTGGTGACATGACTGGATTCCACTCCTACCGTGAGATTTCACAACAGCATCGCATGCAATAAGTCAAATTTTTTCCAATATAAATTATATCTTATGGCATTATGGATAAAAACCACAGTATAAAATTGCTCAAGCTGACACTGCAAAAATATGCTTTGGAATTCAAAGTCTTAAATTGCACTGTTCTTGGCAAAAATTGTGGAATTTTCTTTAAGCCTGGTTTTTGTTAAATTTGCTGATTGATGTCTGAACACAAAAAGATAGATAACATTATCCCTCAAAGTAGGTGGTATTTTCTTAAGTAAGGAATAATACTAATTACTGTAAAGAATTACTGACAAATGCTATTTTGATCATTCACATTTGAAAGAGACTAACACCACATGTTTCAAGGGCTGTTTAAATTTTAGACCAATATTTTCTCCTCTTACTCAGACTAAATTACAGCATGATGTATTCTCTTAACAATAGAAAGTTCGAGCCTAGCATTAAGCTGATTCATCAATCAGTGGTATATTTTCTTCTGTTGAAATTCTCTCAGGTCAAGAAAATAATTAGTATTTAACTGCATAATTCACTTCCCATATATAAAAGCCAGGAGAAACATCCATAACTTTACTTTCATTTGGGTAACAACAGAAATTTCTCTACAGCTATTCATTTCTTCATTTGTTGAATTCTGCTCATGTCTGAATATGAAATGCTGTACTGTCTCTTTGAGCACAGCACTTGAGATCAGTCTCTTATATAATTATATAGCCTTGAACAAAGACATTAATGTTTTTTCTTTCCTCTTCCATCTGTAGAATGTGGCTATTCATACTTAAGTGCCTCTTGAATTAATTGTAGTTATTAATAGTTGTATTAATTAATAGTTAATGAATTCAAATTATTTTTATGGACAAAAATATTCTCAACCATGCGGAGATGAAACTGGAATTTCGATTATATTGAAAAATGTGAACTGAAAATATACTAATGTTCCAAACTGCAACAAACCCAAAGAATTTTGAAATTGTCTGAAAACCACAGAAGCTGCACTCAATTCTGTTTCAAGAAAATATTTTCTGTTATATCTTATAATGGAATAATGAAGTAAATTGCAAAACAAAAAGTTACTTCAAAATAGAAAACAAAATCCAATATCAGAATTTTTTCAATTGAGTATCTGCTTGATAAAAATACTGATCAGCTGTAGTTTCACCTATTACAATTAGTGGATCATTTTAGAGATGACAAAAATGGTTTCACTATTAATCTAGAGATAAGTCATAGGACAGTCCCAAAACTGCCTAAAGAAAAAAAAAAACAACCCAAACCAACAAGAAAAAAAAACACCAAAAAACACCAAAAAACCCCTCAATACCCTATTATACAGTTTTTTACTAATTCAGTGCTGCAGGTCCTGTGTCCCTTGCAAATCAATTAGTCTCCATCACAGTAATTACAACATTCTTAGGAACAAATTGACTTGTCAACTTAGTTCCTCCATGACATTCTCAGTCTTCAGTGCCTTTTTTTTTAAGAGAAAATGACAGCAGACAGCAAAATAAACAGGTTTCCACCTGGCCCAGTCCTCCTTCATTATAGGGACTGCAAAAAAGTCAGGATTCTAGTTCCTCTTGTTTAAAACCATATATGGAAAACATCAGATCAGGAAAACAGCAATTCATATTCTTCATCTCATTTTATCACCACTGTCGACATTGGGTTTCATTTCATCTCTGGCCATTTTTAAAAGAATATTCTTATTAGGACTTAAAAAAAATTCCTGCAGCAGCTATGGCCAGCTACTGACTCCAGTGCCATGGTTCCAAGGGATTTCCCTCTACCAAAATTAAAGTGACACACAGATCACAGCTCAGTTTGGTTATTTGCATGTTGAGCAGGGCAGCCTTGCACCTGACTTAATCCAGCTGCAAAGTTATGTGGTGTATAATCCAGGGCAAGAGAGAGTTAAATTTAAATCAGCAAGAAAGGAAGGCAGTTGACCCACAAGGGAATGAAAAAAAAGATAAAAGACAAAGATTTTCTGCTTTCAAGATTCCTTGAATGTGGCTTTTATTTTTTTCTTCTTTAATAAAAGATTATCTTTCTCTCTACAGGAAGTTCTTGAAACAGTGATCACCATATACCAAACCTTCTCCTGATATGCACTCTGTTATTCTGCTGGCATTGCTGGCAAAACCCCTCAGGTCCCATAAACCAGCTTATGAGTCCTCAGTAGAAGCATGGCAATTTACACCAGTGGAAACTCTGCTCTAATGATTCTACAATGATTTATCTCAGCCAAAAGGCAGAAGCCACTATGGGAAATGCAGATGTGAACAGTCTTGAAAGGACGGCATCAAGAAAAATCTTGATTTTTTTTTCCCTTGGGCACAATAGTAGAATAACTAAAACCAACAGTGTTATACTGATTAAGGAGACTTCTGAAGAGCCAGGGAAAACTGAAGTACCAATCAGGTTCTCATTGCTACAAGGCAACACTGAGATGGAAAACCTGCAGAAATACAAACTCACACAAGAATTTCTCTGCAGAATTGCTACCATGAGTCCAAAATCATCTGTGCTCAGTTCGATGGCTGTCACAGCCACTGCTACAGACATTTTCCACAGGGATGTTCTGTAGGTCACATCACCAGTCTAAAGTCAAAAATTGTTCCTTCAGCGAAATCTTCACCAGGTTGCTTCTATCTGCTGTGGGTGAGAAAAGCTTCCTTCTTGGTTTGTTGGTTTTTGCTGGGTTTTTTCCTCTCTTGCTTTGTTTATTTTTAAATTTTATTCATTATTTTTACTGTTTCTATCTAAATGTCAGAAACTGACATATGGCCATTCCTTCCATCACTCTATCAGTGTCACAGCAAAATAATATGTGAAAGCCCTGAAGAATAATCTGCAGTCTGGGTCTTTCATATGACAAACAAATACTTAAGGACAGGTCTCACAAGGCTTTTTTGTTTGATCTAATTTGTGTTATTTCAGTCTGTAGCTTGATATAAAATGAAAACTTCTCTAGGGAATTAAACATCAAATAGTATCAGATTTTTCCACTGCATTTAATGGTTTGCCTACCTGTCCTCATGTCATTGAGAAAACCATTTAAATTTTATAAGAAATAGTGGAATTAAAAAAAATAAGGGGGTTTGGTTTTGCCTATATTTCACTTGCCATGGTTTTATTTTGATAGCTAGGCTGTCCTCTGTAACATGGATATATTTTAACGGAAGTAACAAAATTAAAATTTTACACGCTAAAATTTAAATACTAAGCCCTGATGAGGCAGGTATGTAAATCCCTCTCCTTCTCTGGAGGTATTCAAACCCACCTGGATGTGATCCTGTGCAACTTGCTCTGGGTGAATCTGCTTTAACAGTTGGGTTGGACTAGATGATCTCCAGAGATCCCTTCCAAGTCCAGCCATCCTGTGATTCTGTATCTTACAACTTCAGCACGTGTCACAGATAAACTCAGACACATAACTAGTTGATGATTTTATAATGTGCAACCAGAAAGCAGACTGGAATCCTCTTTAAGATTTCATTAAAAATTCATTTACTCTCTGAATTCTTTAGGCACGGAACTTTAATGGATTTACCTTAGGAATACTTTCTTGGCAGACAGATCCAAAAAAACCAAGCAGTTAAAAAATACTATTTTTCTGCATTTAAGTGTCTAAATGTTAGTTCTTTTGGTGGATTGTGATCTATTCCCAGAGAAATTAAGAACTAAGGAAGAGTCTAGATTTCCAGATTTCTCCCTACCCTTTCATTTAATTATGAAATTACCAAACAAGCACCTTCAATTGCTTCACCTTCCTCTAAAAATACTGCTGCCAAACAATGCTGCACAGGTATCCACACAGTGCTTTCTGGTACTCTAAGATGATTCAGTGAGTCACTGCCTGCCTCTTTGCCACCTGCTATAGTGTACTAGAAGTAGCAGAGAAATATGTATTTTACTTCCCAGTTGTTCCTGTGAAGAATTTGCATTAGCAGAACTACCCTGATCAATCATCAATGAAAGCAAGCACAGCCTGTCCCAAGAAAGTCAGATGGAGCAGTTTTCCTCAGTGCTGTGCAAAGGTGCTGCTGTCTGCCTCTACCTGTCTGTCCTCCTGAACCCTGAGGATGCAGAAAGAATGAAAATAAACATGGATTTTTAACACCAAAAACTACAGCAGCAATTAAAGAATGAGCCTTCTGGCTAGGACTCATAAGCAAACTTCTGTGCATGCTGTGGGTGGCTACCAGACACATATGTACAGTAATCCAATAAATTTAAAAACATGAATTTCTTTCCTCTGTCCCACACCTCCCCCCCGAACCACTGAGTAATAATTAATGAATGAAAGTGGAAGTGGTGTACTGACCTCATCAACATTCTCAAATGCATTGATGACATCATATGGCAGGCAGGAGAGCAGGTCGATCACAAACCAGGTCTTCAGGTAATTCATGCGAATCAGCTTGGGGTCAGAGATCACCTCTCCTGCCGGCCCCACAAAGGTGGTGTGGAAATTAAGCACAATGTCGACCAGAAAAATGACATCTACAATGCTGTCAACTACCAGCCATGCCACGTTGTTCTGTTTGGTTTTAAAGGAGACATTGTAAGGGACCAAAATAGCAGTGTAGAAGGTTAAAATCAAGATGATCCAGTCCCAGGTAGTCTTGAATACACAATAATGCAAAATTATATGTGGTGGAGTCTTTGGTGCCTCTTGTTTGTACTGTGGGAGGATTTCAGAACCCAGCTGCAATACCTGTAGTCAGAGAGATTTGAGAGGAAAAAGAAAACATGCTTAATTTTTTCATGGTATTTTTCACACTGTAGATTCTCAAGCTCAGTACAACAGTTCATAAAAATTCATGCCTACTAACTCCTTTTATCACCACCAAATGGTAAACAAGCCAAGGAAAGTATTCTGTTACACAAATCAGCATCAAACTAAGAACAGTTGTTTCTTCTAATGCCATTAATTATTTTTTGGCACTAACGTGTGAAGTGCCCATGAGAAAGAGAGAAGAGAGAACCTCTTTAGCTATCTAGACAGACGAGACAGAAAAATGATGGGCAAGAATAGGCAGAAGGCTGGTGTGAGTAAAAACTGATGGCAAAACCAGGAATAATATCCAGCTGAGTTCCAGTCCAGCAGCAAGACCCCTGGACCACATCTTTTTCCAACACTGGCTATTTAACTCTTCACTATACCATGTCTGAAAGAGTCTCATTCTACAATCTATCATGAATGCACAGGCCTTTCTTCCTCTTCTCTGGGCTGTGCAGGTCCAAAGCCACGATAGATAGGATATCTATCATTAGCCTCAATAAACTCATTTTTATGAATGAAAACACTTCACCTTTTCATTCAGAGAAGTTAAATGTCTTAACTACCTGATGGTGTAGAACCACAGAAAGGTAGAATCATTAAAGTTGGAAAAGACCCCTAGGATTGTTGAGTCCAACGATTAACCCAGTATCACCGTGTTCTCCAACAAACCATGTCCCCAAGTGCTACATCCACACACCTTTTGAACCCTTCTAGGTACAGTAATGCCACCATTCCCTGGGAAATCTGTTCCAATACTTGACAACCCTTTCAGGGAAGAGATTTTTCCTAATGTCTAATCTCAATCTCCTCTGGTGCAACTTGAGGCCATTTCCTCTGGTCCTGTCATTTCTTGCCTGGAAGAAAAGCTGGATCTCTCCCTCGTTACAACCTCCCTTCAGGCAGTTGGAGAGAGCCAATGGTCCCCCCTGAGCCTGTTTTTCTCTAGGCTAAACAATCCCAGCTCCCCCTCATCAAACTTGTTCTCTAAACCCTTCACTGCCTTTGTTGCCCTTCTTCAGACATGCCCCAATGCCTCCATGTCCCTCCTACTGTAGGGGCCTCCAAACTGACCCCAGGATTTGAGGGGACCTGCCGAGGCACACTGTTGAGTTACACTGCAGTTGGGTCTGAATTCAGAAAAGCACTACTGCAGAAGATGATCTGCCAGCATGTGTTTTAAACCCTGGGCCTCAAGCTGAGCACATGCTGACACTGAGCACTGTTTTACATAACTGCAGTCTCAATCACTGCTGCCCATTTTATGTCTGTTCTCTCTCCAGTTCTGTCCACTGCTGCAAAAACAGTATTATCATGTATGCAATTCTTGGGAACTCAAGTTTCTTTCACATACCTATGAATAAGAATGTGTTTGTTTATCTGTATGGATATACATGAGGGCAAAATCAACCTCAAGAACCTGTGTCCAAATAAAGAGAAGTTAAATTTTAAAGCAAATTTTACCCTGGATGAGTTATGAATGAAAACTGAAAGGAACATGAAGACTTGCTTGAGTGAAACGTGTTTTGTAATGCCAAACTCACAGAACCCGTGAGTAGTATTTAGGAGCATGGTTCCTTTTCCACACTTATTTACACATAGTTCAGAGCAATAGGAAGCAGAGGAGGAAATTAAATGGTGGCTTTTCTCTGGGAAAAGATAAGACAACACAGCTAGAATAGAAGGATGCCTTCCTTTCATGCTCCTTATCTCAGCTTTTTTAATGTCACTTATTTAGACATGGATTTTATCTGCAGGCTTTTTTGAGTGCCTTTTTTTTCCTCTTCTTCTTTTTTTTGGTGAACTGGTGAGATTTTTTCCAACAGTTTCAGCCAAAGGGGACAAAAGAAAACAATCAGCTACAAAAGTTCTACTTGGACAAAACAGTCTCAGATGAGATTCCCTGCTGCTCTGAACCTCACATAATCACTTACTCATGTACACAACAGGGGTCAGACACTGTCAGATCACAGTTCCTCACACATGTGTAAATGAGAATGGGAATTGCAAGCCTGCTGACTTTGAGCACAGTATGTTCTCCTGAAGAGAATTAACATGACCTGCTCTGACAGACCTGCATGTTACCACAGAGGCACTAAGAGTTTTAAAAAAATTCGATTTAATAAAATAAGAGGACTCAGCATTTTTGTTTCACTGAGTTTCTAGAATGACAGCAAAAAGGAGAAAGGAACATTTCACCTGCAGACCCAACTAGGACTCAAACATGTTACTGCAGTATTACACAGTCTATTGATCCTGACCCTGATTCATGTAGGTTCTCCCTACTACCAAAAACAAAAAGGGAATTAAGCTGTCCTGTGTTGAGGGGAGCTGGAAGCAGCACAAGGCACATGCAGTGCAGAAGCCACTGGACAGCACATGCAGTCCCCAAAAGTCACTGGTGTGACTGGAAGAGGCAGAAGTTGTGTATTGAGTCTGTGTGTGTTACTCAGAGCATCATTCCCTTCAAGGCTTGTTTGCAGTCCCAGTGACAGATGTTGTGATGTCTTTTCCCAACAAAAGCTCTAGCCCAAATCAATATTGCAAATACCTCCTGCCCTCCTGTTTGCACATTGCAGCTGTACCCAAATCACTTGGAAAGCAATGAGTTACTGCTGTTTTTTATGAGGCTCTGCATGAGCAGCAGCTCTAACATAGGATCCTAAGCCTGAAATATGCTTCATTGGGCAAGGAGAGTCCTCTGCAATACACATTCACTGGAACAATTGATCAGTAAAACTAAGCACCTCCATCACACAGTAACATTTTTCATTTAGTGGGATTTCAGTCCTAATGCTCAGACTTTACTGGTGTGGTGAGACAGGATGACCCTTCAAATGCAGCAAGAAAGCATAATTGCTTCTTCTGCAATCACAGGCCTACTACAGCTTATTTTTTTAGCCCTTGGTATTACATGAAAAAGTCTAATGTTTTGGTAACTACTCTAATCAGTACAGGAACCTCAACCATGAAAAACTGAAAAAAAAATTGTTTGCTCTTGTCAGATGGTTCTTACTTATACAACTTATACATACGTAAGTTCTAGACTAAGAATTGTATAATGCACTCCATTTTGGTCACTGCTGCTCTCTGTACTCCAAGAATTTGTGGAAATTTTGCACTAATAAAACTAAATTTACTGGGAAATATACTATGTATACCTGCATACCGAAAAAGGGGAAAAGGCAAGAACAATCTCTGTTTGGCAAAATGAAGGGGCTAAATTATGGTGTCCATTATTCTGTTGTAAATAGAAAACAACATTAAAATAAAGCCAGTGGAACTACAAGGATGCAAAAAAAAACCAGCAGAAAGCAGAAAAAAAAGCAGACTTCTAGCTCCAACTCGTTAAGATAATAAACTGCTGCTTCAGTGTTTTTAAATGTCATCACCAAATACAAAGCACCCTCTTCTTGCTTGTTTGAGATTCAAGGGCTGTGGCACAAGAAAATAAAAGGATTGATGATTGATTGATCTCCTTTCCTTTCTATTTAGAAAGTAAACATACTCTATCTGAATAGCTAGGGACCTTATTAATAAGTCTTTTGAACTTCTGTTACCCCCCGGAGTCTCTGGTGAAGCCCTGCCAATGGTTATTTAAAGAGACATGGGGCTTTAGTTGGTTTCCAGCAGAAGGATGTGCACCACCACTGTGGGCACCAATCCTGAATGGAGGGCCAGGAGTCAGGCATCAAGGAATGACACAGGGATGCCAATCACTCACCAGATGGGGAAAGCCACCAGCAGCAAGCCTTTGGGTGGGCTGGAGGTGACAAGTTCTAGCCTGGGCTCGCTCTCACTACATCACTAACACACACCTTTGTAAAATCACCCCATCTTGCTGGCACTGCCAGAAATGATTTCACAGCCTGAGGTGAAAGAAGGGCACTGCCCCAGCTCACACTGTCACTCCCAGCAAAGGCAACTGGCTTTGCACACTGCCTGGCACTGCCAGCCAAGAGCTTCCAAAGGCACCAAAATCTTCATTTCACTGAAGGAAGAGAAACACACCTACAACAAAGCTTTATAATCTCAGAGAACAAGCGTGTGCCTTTATTGTAAAGCACAACAAAAGAGCTCAGTACTGCACAGAAACCATGGAAGGAGGTCCACAAATCTTAGTGCTGAAGATCAAAATTTTGTCAGGTCACTGCACTGGAAGTTATAAGAGCTCCTTTCTCCAATTTTCATGCCAAAGGCCACACGGAGTCTATTTCTTCACCACCCTTGCCCCAACACACACATCACCCCTGGATCATCTGGAGATTGAGAGCTATAAACCCAATCTCTCTGCACCATCCAGCAATCCCAGGTCCATGCAAAGTACCCTCTGCCCTATTCCAAGGTGCTCCTGCTGCACTCCAGCCTCTAGGGAGAGTAGTGCCAACCTGAGACAGGTTTGGTGAAGCAGTCAGGTGTGGTTACACACCCACATGAACTAACCACATTCAAACTGCTTGTAAAGAGACTTCTCCGGGAGAGGAAAAAAAACAAACCCCAAGAGACTGTGAGTACAGAACTAAATAAACCAATATGCTGAGCTTCCATTCATGTGCACTGGACAATTTTCTGAATAATTGAAACAACTCTGGTTTTGGAAGATTTTTCACTATTATGCAGTTTTATCATAGTAAAAGAAATATTTATTTCAGAAAATTATTAATGAAAGTATTATTTCAGTTACTTATTATTCATCAGATAATACAGCTGTATTATCTGCATTTATTATTTGTGGTAATGATGCATGATGCTTTAACAGCTCCCTAATGCTGGAGAGTTTATTCCAAGAGCAGAAATGCCAAATTTCATCATGGGTTTTACAAGATTGTGTTCTTTTTTAAACACAGCAAGTTGCTTTTTTTTTTATCCTATTTTTTTTTACAAAATGGCAAATATATCCCAAGTCAGGAGACATAAATTGCATCAGAAGTGGTTACAATGATTTATTTATTTTTAAGACTGTATGACTGGGGGGCAAAAAAAAGCTAACACATAAACACTCACTCATTTCCAGCTTAATCTCTCCTTTTCATGTTTTCAATTGCACCTATTTGCTTTCTCTCACTCTCCCTTACTTTTGTTTTCCCAAGCACCCACATAAATTGCTCCCAAGCTACGGGCTAGGAGCTAAGCCTCAATATTTTGATTGGCAGTTTAATGGCAGTTAAAAGTTCCTGGTAAACAGTGTTAAAAAAAAAAAATGGCAGAGGTTCCATTCTTAAGCAGTGCTGCTAAGCACCATTATAATTTCTCTGCTTTTATTTCTCATAACTATCATATTTTTTTTTAATTTTGACACAGTTTTGTTTGCCCAGAACTGCCTGGCAAAGGAGCAGAACACATAAGCTAAGACCATAGGTGCAGATGACACACATATTCATTCAGCAGTGACCAGGAAGAGCCATCCCTACCATCAGCTCCTTGGCAATTAAGCAAAAGAAATGCATCAGTTGCTTTACAAACTCCTATTGCAAAATGTTGTCTCACTTACCTAACACCCTTGTGTTAATTGCATAATTAATTTGAGTAGTTTTCATATGACTGCTATTAGAGAAGTCAGGCTAAAAAAAAAATCTGTGCCTACTGGCAAAAGTCAGAGACTGAAGCTTCACAGACACTGCTTGTGTTATCCATGGCCCGTTAGTCTGTCACTAACACCTTTCTTAAACTGTTCCACAAACAATAAAAAATTGTAAGCTGTTGTGTCAGGCTCCAACACCTTGCTCTACTCAGGTTCTAGGATGCAACAGCCTCCCAAGACATTCAAACATATAAGTGATAAATAACTAAGAGCAACACAAATAACACTGCAATAAACGTGGAGCCTTCTCACACAAACAAGATTGATGTGAAATGTCATAGTGAGGTGAGTAGCAAAAGAAAAAGGATGAATTTTAAAATTTCAGATAGGCTACTGCAGGGATGAAGAAAAAAAAATATTTGAAAATACAACAGGGAACTGTTAGAGATCCCATATTCAATATTATCAAGAAACCTTTGCAGAATAAGAAGCCTGGCACCCCATCTATCTTCAAATAAAGAAAAGTGGTCTTGTCTGTATGATTATCTGCACTCTTCTTTCCTCTGGTGTAATTCTATTGACTTAAATGGAATTACTGCAGAAAAAAAAGCTACCTAACATCACAGCTGGGGCTAATGTTCTTTGTAAAATTATGACCGCAATATTCAGTCAGCAATTAAAGAAACTAATTTCAGACATGTACAGTATACACTTGCCCTTTATTATTTGTAATTAATCAATTGGCTGTGCCAGTAAGATTACTTGCAAAGGCTTGTTGAGCACATGGACTTGCAAAAATTTTCAGTAACATCCAGACTGTTGCTAAACAGAATAACCTCAGACCCTTTGGCTTAAGTTTTGCTACCTCCATTTTAGCATTGACTAAAATTCAAGGGTAGAGATCTAAAGAGAAGAAAGGATTATTTGATATGAAGCCTTGAGTAGGATTAGGAGGAAAACTATTTCAAATTCCAGGACACTGAAGCAACCTCAGGATGGACATGTGCTAATCACATGGTCTTCCTGCAGTATGGCTTCCACGTGAATGTCTGTCCCTCCTCTGTGCTAGTATGATCCATGTTACTTCTCTGCTTCCAACAGAAATTGGTTTTCCCTTCTTGAGTTCTTCTGTATGAAATACTGAGTAGGTAAGATCGTCTCTGCAGGAATTTTGCTATTATACGTGATAACAAGACAGGAGATTTTTAGTTTGCATATAAACTAAGACATATACAGCAGAACTAGCAGAGTGTGGTATAACTGACTATATGGAGACCTCATGGCACCCATCAACACCTTACACCTCCAGCTGCACAGGAAGATCAAGAATTACTGTCAAGTCATAGCTGCTGCCATGGCATTCACAGCAGGAGGTAACACAGGACTGCCATGTTATTTTGGCTGTGCTGTCATTAAAACCACATCAAACCTCTCCCCAAGCTGTTTTTACACGAGGGAGACCCTGCCACTGGCCCAGGAGACAGCAACAGGAAACTTGGGACAGTCTCACCCCCCCATGGTGAAAGGCTCAAACCCCAAGTGCTTCAAGGGGCCTTCTATGCTCGGAGCTTATCTCAAAGCTCTGAAAGGCTACTTAAACCACAAGGTCTCATTTTCCTAATATGTCTGCAGTGTTGCTTGTGGCATCTTACAACTGTTCTGTCCATAAAAGCAGTAACTTAAACATAGTTTTTAACCAGTTGGTAATGCAGGGTTGGCATCCCACTGAGAGGTAAGTAGACATAAATTATTTCAGAGAATAACCATATCATGGATTCTCCAGGATTTCCTTGTGTACTAGACTGAGTTTTTCTCACCTCAGTTTTACATAAGTAGATAGTCCAAGATCCTATTCTTATTAAGATCCTCAGAAGAATGGAAACTAAGCAAGAAAGTATTATTTTAATAACACCTAAGACTTTGCTAAGAACACAACACTGCAATTAGGTTACACGAAGTCTTTGGGACACCTGTTTTCATTCTGCTGTCACAGGACACATTTCACAGCACATGTACCAGATTCCCAGGGCAGGGAGGACTGACAGTTCTTGGCTCACGCAGAGAGGACATACCCACAAAGGCTAAAAAATTTCTTTACAGCTTCCTGGGGAAAGAAAAAATTACCTCAGCAAGTCTTGAATGCTTGTGAACGTTCTCTCCTTTCTGCACGCTGGGAGCAAGCTGCTGCAGCACTCCTCTGCTGCTCGTGAGGGCACGGGTCAAGCGGGCAAACTTCCCCCAACCTTGAGAAAACATGCAAGATTGGACACATTACCAAAAAAAAGCTGCAAGTGTACCTCATAAAACCTCTTACAACTAAAGGGAAGAAAAGATATTAAAACAGAGCAATCTGCTTTAATACTGACCAGAAGGGAATATAATTTAACCAAGTACCAGAGGAAAGCAAGTCAGAAAATAGGTGTCAGCGTGGTACAGTAATAAAGCCCATGACTTCTGTGACTTTGTATTCAATGACTCTACAAAAATACTGCTACACGAACTGCATATTTTGCAAGGATAAATGTCCACTATACAATAATCTCATATTAAATCTAATGATCAGATTTGAATCTCACTGCACTGCAGAAGACACTCCAGACTAATCAAGATGTAAGGCCAGAGTCATGCACAATGAAAATTACAGTTGTCTGTAAAGTGAATCTGGCCTCAGATGCATCAAGCATAGATCTGGAATAAGTGGAGAAATATACATAAGGTAATAAAAAGCAGAGCAGAAAAGCAAAACAAAATCATTAATTTTACTCTCTCTAAACAAAACGGGAAATATACTAATAGATTTTCTCAAACTCAAATTAAACATTTAGCGGCTTTTGGCAGAGAAGTCATATGCTGAATTTTAATTCAGAGTATTTTTTACAGTGATTTCAAATTCTCTCAAAATAGAAGACCTTCAATGACAGTCAAAAGAGCTAGCTACAACTATAATCCTTATGAGCACTACTTTGCCATAACAGAAAGGCAAAGTATACATCTGGATATTTTTGGTATACTGAAAGTATCAGTGCTTTTATTCCCAATCTTGAAAAATGCTAGCACCACCTGGGAGCTCTTGAGCTCCTATTCCTCATCTCCTACTCCAACTAAGGACACCTAGTGCTTTGAAGATGCAGTTTATATCGAGAATCTGGAAAACGTTGCCTACATAGCTTTTTTGTAGACCTTTTTAGGTACTGGAAGGTGCTATAAGATGTCCTTGGAGTCTTCTGCTCTCCAGGCTGAGCATTCACAGCTCTCCCAGCCTGTCTGCACAGCAGAGGTG